ATCGGAAGAACTCACCTTTAAAAAATTTGGTTGCTCAGTTCCACTCAGGAGCACTGTAAGCAGGGAGGAGAGGCTTTAAGCTTCTTTTTGGAGTCTGAGGAAGGCCTTTCTTGCAAAAATGGCACGCGATGGAAGCCTGAAGCCCCTCCTCCTCCCTTGTTATGCTCCTGAGCCAGCCAGAGTAACAGAACAATTTGAAGTTGAGTTCCCTCAATTGTATATGTGACTACAAGTTGAGTTAGGTGCCTGTGACCTGACTCATGTCACATGGGTTGTGTATGTTGACCCTAATTGAAGGATATATAATATGGGTCCTGGAAAGTGATAATGTATAACATATGAGGCATGAATGAACTTAGGCCCATTTCTTCTCTTGCCTGCCAGCTGAAAGGAGTCTACTGAGTAGCCTCGAAATGAAATTTGTTGCCATAGGGGACATTCGTATGTGATTCATTCTCTAGCCAGTTAGTTGCTAGTAACATAATTATGTGCCTTTTCCCTTCCATCTACTGTATAGTAATTTTTCCTTTTGTTCTCTCTTTTCCCCATCTCCTTGGCTTTCTTGTGGAATGTGGAGCAGCAGCGGCCAGTGAAGCAATCCTTCAGCAAGTCACTCTGTAGGGAATCACATTGGAAATGCCTGGTGCTCTCCCTTCTTATGTATGGCTGCATGGGAGCCATGACCTGGTGCCATGTTACCAAGGTGACACGGCTGACATTTGATAGCGCCTATAAGGGAAAGTCAATGATGTACCATGACAGTCCCTGTTCTAATGGCTATGTCTACATTCCTCTGGCCTTCCTGGTGATGCTCTATGTAGTCTATCTGGTGGAATGTTGGCACTGCTACACCCGCAATGAACTCCAATACAAAGTGGATGTGGAGAGTGTGCACGAACGCGTCCAGAGGATGCAGCAAGCCACACCATGCATCTGGTGGAAAGCTATCAGTTACCACTATGTCAGGAGGACTCGCCAGGTCACTCGTTATCGCAACGGGGATGCTTATACTACCACCCAAGTGTACCATGAGAGAGTGAACACCCATGTGGCAGAAGCAGAGTTTGACTACTCCAACTGTGGGGTGAAAGATATCTCTAAGGACCTGATTGACCTGGAGAACTTCCCAGCCACTCGACTTCGCTTCACCAAGTGCTTCAGCTTTGCCAATGTGGAGTCTGAGAACTCCTATCTGACCCAGAGGGCCCGTTTCTTCACAGAGAATGAGGGATTGGATGATTATATGGAGGCAAGAGAAGGCATGCATCTCAAGAATGTTGACTTCAAAGAGTATATGGTGGCCTTCTCAGACCCAGACAACCTGCCTTGGTATGTCTCCCACTATGTCTTCTGGGTGGCTGCTCTCTTGACTTTGTCCTGGCCATTGCGGGTCTTGAATGAGTACCGTACTTCCTATGTTCACTACCATGTGGAAAAACTCTTTGGGTTTGATTATGTGGCAGTAACGCCAGCCGAGGAGCGCCCTTTCTGCCGGAGGATGCCCCGGGTCAATACAGTGGACAGTACAGAGCTAGAGTGGCACATCCGGTCCAACCAGCAGCTGGTTCCCAGCTACTCAGAGGCTGTCCTTATGGATTTGGTGGGGCTCTCTGGCTGCACTACCTACTCCTCATGCCGCTATGGGAGCTACAGACAGAACTGTGAGCAGTGCCACAGGACTATAAGCAGCTCTTCCATCTTCTCCCGCAGTGCCCTCAGTATCTGCAATGGCAGCCCCAGGATCCCCTTTAGCAGCAGCCGCTTTTCACTGGGCCGTCTCTATGGCTCACGGCGCAGCTGCCTTTGGCAGAGCCGGAGTGGGAGCCTAAACGAGCAGAGCTGCCCGACTGAGCAGACTCGCCTGTCCAGCCAAGTCACTGTGGAGGAGGAGGAAGATCCCCCTCCTTACCAGGATGCCCTATACTTCCCCATCCTCATTGTGCATCGAAATGAGGGCTGCCTCAACCATGATCACCGCCATCTCCATCGGAATGGGTCCTGTGTGGAGACCTCACTATGAGGGGTGTGAATAATGTCTTACAGAAACTACCCTGCGTCCAGACATGACATTTGGGAGCAGATGGGCTAACACATGAGTAGAGGTTCCTACAAATGTATGTGAGTCAGAGAGGATTACTCCCTTTCATCATCCCATAGGGGACTCAACAGCTCCCAAGACCTCTTCTAGTTCTGGAGAGCTGTGATGGCTTTGACTTGAGGCAGGTGGTCAATACCACCATTGGAACTACAACACAAAACTGCAGACTGACAGCCACATGCAAAAAAAGAAAAAAGAAAGGGAAGGGAAGAAGGGAACAGTGACAGCACCAAGAATCTGGGTTGTTTCTCCTCAGCTCTGTCTCCAACCTCTAGGCCACCTTGACAATATCTAACAAGAACTGTCTGTGTCTGATACCATGCATCTTGTGGGGGACTGTTCTCCCAGCCTTGTAAAGTCATACTCTAGCAGACGAATCCATGGCAGTGTAGCCTGTTCCTTCAGCAGCAAGGCAAATAACTGCACAGATTACAAGGAGCTGAAGGGTACATGAAAACAGCTACAAGAAGTCAGGCCTTCTTCCTTTTTCTAGACCACTCTCCGACTGTTATCCTGTTCTCAGATGCTGGGAACGCAAGGTCTTTGGATGTCTCCTTGGAAAGAACTGGTGTTTCATATCTGGGAATCAGCTTCCCATAGGTAAAGCTTAAACTGTATTCTAAGTACGTTCTTTTTGTGAAGACAAATTACAGAGTGGTAAACATGTTAGTCTCCTGCAGTTAAAATGACAAAGAGTCTAGTGGCATCTTACGAATTAACACATTTGTTGTTGCTACTGTAAATTTATTAGTCCTTAAGGTGACAAAAGACTCTAGGTTGTTTATTTATTTTTGTGGCAGTGGAAAGCAAGAACAAACAGGAAATCTATAAAGGAAACCCCAGACTTTGGTACAGTGCAGTTAAATCTCATGAGAAGGTTCAATCCACGAAATAAGATGCAGAATCTGTCTTGTATGTGTTGGCACTGGGGATGGATGTGATGGAGAAGAGGGGGAGAGTTAGGAAACTGCGCAATCTGTACTGAGCAAAACCTAGTCCTAATGAATGCAACCAATTCAACCTGGGAATTGGTATTGAGGGAAGTTCCATTGCAGTTTATGTATTAATAAGACAGGAACAGGTTGGTGCAAACCAAGGATGTGTGTGAATTTTACTCAAAGTGTAGCTGCCTCTTTGCTGATATTGTCTGGAATATGAAAGGGGAGGGCAAGAGTTAGTTGAGGGGAGTCATGGAAGAGAAATTGTGTTGGGTGCAAAAACGTGTGTGTGTATGAGAGAGAGATATTTTTGAACACTCCATCCTTCATGTCACTTTTGACAGGGAAATCTAAGGAGTGCTGTGCTCTTGTCTGATGCTAACACACTACGTGAGTCACCATCAACTCTGCAGTACTTTCTCCATTCATTCCTCCGCTCCTTTTATATTTTAATTTCTTGCACACCTTGAGGAACAGATCAGACAAAAAAGACAGGTTTTATCCAACCTTGTAGTGGTGGAGGTAGCTTTCTAGAGAGGGAAGGGAAGAGGAGAAGCATTTGGAGACACAGAGAATTTTGTGACCATCTCAGGGTGAAGTGTTACAATAATGAGAAATTTTCTTTCAGAGAGCAATACAGAACAGCTAGGTTAGGAAGGAGCAAAAGTACTGAAGAAAAAAACAACAGTGATTTTCAGTGGTGGGGCTCAGGGTGAGAATGGCACACTCCTTTGACCTTCAATAGCTTTTGCTCTTTAGTTGGATTGCCACTGTTCCTATGCTCTTTCAGAGGATGGTCTAACAGTGCCCAATTAGAAATTTCCCCCCTCTTAGTATGTATCAGATGTCCGAATGGTCCCACTCACTTTATTAATGAAATCTTTTATTACATGAATCCATGTAATAAAAGTACTTTTCACAGCACTATTCTCACGTGACAGAATATTTGCATTTTCTAATTTTGAGTGGGTGGAAAAGTTGAAATGCACATTTGATTACAGAGATTTCAAAACAGTCCATTTCAAAGTAGCTTTCCAAACAGACTAAACAGCAGGATTAATTAAAAAACAAAATTTAAAATCTTTAATTAAAAGACGTAAAAATCCATCCATGCACCCTCTGTATTGCCTTGGACTGTATTTTTTTGGTGATATCTTCTATGTTTTCTGATTCCTGGAGCTTCTTTTATTTTCTGCAAAAGTATGAAGTTAATCTAGTCAACAAATGGTGTTTCCAGATGAAGGTTTTCCTCTGGTTTGGCATCCACACTTCAGCAATGGTTCGGGGGGGGGGGGTTGTGTTTTTTTTATAGGTCCTGCCCATGCTGGTGGTATTTTCCTTGCCTTCGCTCCTTCCCATGGCTGGCATTTTCCCCCTTTCCCATGCCTCTGGAGGTTGCAGCAAAAAGGGTTATATATATTTTTAGAGTGAAAGTTGGGAATTCAGAGGAACTAGTAGACCATGGTAGTAGATCATTCTAATAATATAAGGCCATAGCACAAAAACAATTATCCATTAAAAAAAAGCACAAAAAGCCCTCCATTGGTGGTGTGGCAGCAGGAAAAATGCAGGGGAAATGGTAGCTGATTGAAGAAAGTGCATACAAGACCCTCCATTGCCAGTGCAAACCCATCTGCATTCTCAGTGGACGGGGAAATGGAGAATCCTCATTGTGTGGATACAGTTAAAGAAAATACTACTACTAGTGCTGTTTGCTTTCCACAGAGACAGAGCTAGCTGAATGAGCTTCATCGCTCAACTGTCTTCCTGTGCCACCCTGGTGGTTCCAGGAAGACTTCCCCCTTTGGAAAGAGGTAAAGAGTGGTCTCCTCCTGCTGACAACCTCTGTTAAAATACTCCAAGGGCAGGAAATGACCAGGCCTGCATCTTCTCCAGGGGTCATTTCGTAGAAAAAGAGCTAGGGGAACTCATTAGCATAACTCATTAGCATATGCCACACACCCTGACATCAGGGGCCCGGTGGTGGACCTGCAAGGCCGGTGGAAGTGCGAGGAAGCCCCGCGAAGGCCCTCCCTGGCCCCAGGCAGGCAGGGGTGGGGAGGAAGCAACTTACCCTCCCTCTTCTCCTGCCTCCTCCTGGCTGAATGAGGGCAGGAAGCGGGGTGGCCAGAAGCAGGGGGCGGGGCTTCATCGTGTGCCCACCCCCCTGCACCTCACCCGGGGGAACTGCGTTCCCCTGCGTTTTCCCCCGAAATGATCTTCTCTCTTTTTTGTCTCCTTGGGTTCCCATAATTACCATGTCACATTGCTTTGCTGCCCTTTCTTCAGCTTGGAATTGGAAATTTAACCAGCCTGCTTGTCAGGGAAGTTTGAGCTTAACCCCAGAGCATTCACAGAGTGTAAACTTAGCATTCACAAAGTAAACAAGAAAATTAGATATTTGGGTGAAGTGTGATTTCATCACAGGCTGCAGAAGTCCAAGCACACCTTGGACCTGGCGCCAGCAGGGTCTAGGAGGTGAGAACCGATGCAAGTCACACCTGCCCCTTGTTTCTATGTGCCTTCCTCTGTTGATTTGACACCCCAAGCGGCTGCTGAGGTTGCTCATTCTGCGAACCATCCCTATATGGATATGGACCCTGTGGACCCTGACTGGATGGAAGGGCAGTGTAAAATGTTTTAAATAAATAAAAAAATAATGGACCATAAGGCCTTAGTTGGAGAATTATTTATTCATTTATTAAAACCTATTTATATCATGCCTTTCCTCTCAGTTCAAGGCTGCTTACAATAATAGTTAAAGCACCCCCAGCTAAAACCAAAGATAAAATAACAAGCCCCAAATCCCTCCCCCATCTCCATCCATTCCTTGTTCATTCCATGAAATAAGGCCTTCAGTTTCTGCTTTTCAGGCATTTTGTCAAGTAACAAAAATAGGGGTTGATTTAAACACAAAGTCAAGCTGACCTTTTTATTTTTAAAAAGACAATTTGTGCCCTGATTCTGGCTTGTTGGCATTTTCTTTTTTTTCCCTTGAAAACAATGCCTTGCAATTTTGAACAATTTTGGTATACTACTCAATATTGACCCTGTTAATTATAATATATTCAGCCTCTTTGGCATCATTTTCCATTGGTTCATTAACTATGTGTAAGCTGTTGCTCTCTGTCATATTTAAGCTTCATGGAAGTAACTGCAGTTCTGCTGGTCTTTATTGTATGTTTCACTTGACTCTTTAGTCAGGCCAAGTGTTTAGGTTCCCATTCATCTCCTGTTAACATCAGTAGAATATTTGATGTTGACTGAGAGTATCGTTTGTCATGGAGGATCAAGGGCGATAACACAGAAATGGTACCACAGTAATGTCGATGGAAAAATATGCTGTATTTCTATATTTTAGATTATATATTTTTCCTGGTCCATGCAGTATGCAGTGCCTGCCTCAAAAATCAAATATAGGCCAATCAAATGCAGCAGTTGTATCATATGTACTGCATGAAGGTTGTGGTTTTCATTTCAGTCTAGTGTATGTGTCTAGTTCTCTTGACTGCACAGAAAATATTTTAAAATATGCAAGAAGTGTCTACTGAAGCCGGGCTCGGAAGAACCAGAATGGGTTTTTTTTAGAGTTCATTGACAGTAGAGGCTTCTGGGCTCTACAGAATTTGGCAGTAGAGCAGAATGAGGAGAAAGGTTAAATATTTCTTCCCCTCTCCCACTAGTCTCATCACTGAAACACAGGCCTAACAGCAGCATTCTGTAAACAGCAAACTTGGGGGGAGGGGAAGATCATAGAACATGCATGTGCATATTTTGGTTTCTAGAAATGATCTGTTGGATAGCAGAAAGAACCTTCATACTGCCAATGTCAATAGATGGCTGGTATTAATACCCGGGGGTGTGTGGAGAGAGAGGGTAAGCTTTTTCAGCTTGATAAAGACAGAGGTGAAAAGAAAAGATTGTGCACAGCGAGACCCAGAAGCCAAGCAGAGGCGCAGGGTCAGTTGGTGTCTGTAGTCAATG